ACTCGGAGGTGTTTTTGAGGTCCAGTCAGAATCCAAAACTTGTCCATTTTAAGTCAAATTTTGCTGCAAACAGATGCAACTGTTGGAGTGCAATGGAACTATCTACTGTCGAATGCTCCTTCGACATCCGAACGCCAAATACACATGGTTGGTGAGTAAAAATCTCGCAAACATGCAGCAAACAGCCATTTGACATTCTTCGAGCAGTTACAGCAGCTGATGCGCATCTGGCAGAAAAGTTGGAGTCGGTGGTTGAAACTCCATTAATAAAAAACAGCTCTGAGAGGAAAAGAACTAGGCACACGACTGAACTGTTCCAGGCCGATGAGGACGAAGAAAATTTGCACTTCGGGCCACAAACCACTGAGAAGCTGCTACGAGTGAAGTCGCTGCAGCGATGTCAATGCTCATGCTCGCATCCCTCAGCTGGCGACTCCGCGAGGAAAAAGAAATTTGGGGTTTGGGCGTAGTTGCACAACCGGAAACGGGCAACGCAGATGACTGCGCAATCACCGCAGATCCTACCCTACATGCCTTATCACTCTGGTCATATTCGCCTGGTGTGACTCGTGTAGCAACGGGTCCGTCGTCACTACCTCGTTCAGTGGCACTTCTCGCCGGTGAATAACAAACTCAGCGTTGCCTGCAGTTGGCAAACATATCGTTGTGCATTTCCTCGGCCTGACGAAAGTCACACGCAGGTTTCGTGCAGGGACTGAGGCTGCTGCTGCAGCTTGCGTAACAAACCCTCAACCAGTTGCTTTTCGACGGCGCTCAACTTCGTTCCCTGATCATGATCGCTGGCGCTGTCGCACTGCATGTTGTGCTCGTGCCTGTGCAATTTGCGGTAGGTGCGTGCGTGTTTCGAGTGCGCGAAGTTGGCCGCGAGGCAACCGTTGAAGTGCGACAGGCCGAGGAGCACGGCAAAGCAGCCCAAGAACGCGCTCCAGTACCACGGCGCCAGAGCCTGAGTCAGTTTGCAGAACTGACTGACCGGCTGGCCGCACAGAATCATGTTGACGGAACTGGTCGTCCGAC